ACCAGGCCCGCGGAGGGGGCGTCGCCTTGCTTCCGACGTGGTTGACGATGAGCTGTGCGGTCTGTCGCTGCCCCTGCGCCCGCCGCGCCCACTCCGGCCAGCGATCCTTGCCAAGCGTGCCGTTAAAGACCACCACCAGCTCCAGTCCGCCTTGGTACAGACAGGCCTGGGAGAGCGCCGCCAGATAGCCGAGCATTGCATTCCACTCGCCTCCACAAACCCAGTCGGTTTGGTAGCCCCCGTAGAGCCGCTGAAGGCCAGAGTCTGCGTCAACCAGAATGCGCGCTGGCGGGGGAGGCGGAGGCAGCGAGCTGGGATGATGGGGATGGTAGTGGTGGTGGTGATGATGATGATGGTGGTGGTGATGGTGGTGGTGGTGGTGTGGGGGCTGACGGCTTGCGGTTCGGGCGAGCTTGAGAAGATCTACTGGAACTGCCGCCCCAGGGCAGCGTTTCTCCAAATACTCCTGAAACCCTTGCACTCCCATATTGTGTCTCAGCGCTTGAGATGGATGGATCTTGTTAAGAAGTTGAATTCTAGGTTGTGTGCTCCGAACTAGATCTGTCCGCTTGTAGTTGGATAACTAAAGAGCTGAAATGTCAGATAAATTATCCCACAAATGCAAGTGCCGACCGACCCCTGTAAAATTCCAGATACGCGTGGCTATATTTTACGTTTGGTCGTGTTAGTGCAATCTGTGTCCATTCCTTACGGTGTCAATAGTATAATCCCGCTACAGTCTCTCTGTTTTGATGAATTACAATGTTGCACGGTCTACAACGTAACGATGGAGGATAACGGCGCGCACGCTACAGTTATTTTGTCGACAATGTTGGTAACATCAAAATATAATCCTATTTGTAACCTTTCTACCTGCAAACTAAACAACAGCTACGCCGTTGCTATCCAACATGACCGTTAGGTGATTCAAACTAACTCTAGCTGCTAGTGAATACAGTATGTCCTGTGATGGTTAACAGTTGTAAGAGCTACAGTTTGTAGCTAACAAACTAGCTCGCGCAGTTAGCCAGTTAGCCAAGATCCCGGCGTGATTGACGCGTCAACTAGTCGAGACAAATCGGGGGCTGCCACGATTCGGAATGAGATGAATAATTAAGGGGAAAAATAAAGTAAAACAACTAAAATAAAACAAAAACAAAAGCCCGACGTAAGCTCCCTCGCTCTCTGTCTCACTCACGACTTCATGTTGAGGAGAGGAACATACTTTCATGCGACGTCGGCCATCTTGCGACTTCCCCGCGGACCGATAGAAAGCGGGAGGGCAGGCGAGCTGAGGAAAGTGGGAGGAGCGATGGGCCTGGGGGATGTAGTTTTTTCTGACTGAAAAGGTATCTGGATTATAGAGTAAAAGACTACAACTACCAGTACAGTAAAGTAGTGATGGGAGAAACGAAGCTTTTCGAAGCATTGAACCAATTGCTTCGAAAAATTATTCGATGTTTCGAAGCACTTGAAACAGCACATGCTAGCGACAGCTGCTGGTGAAACGTTGCAAAAGCATCAAGAACTCAGACCAAACTTACAAAACAAATGGAAATGTTTTTTTAGAAATACCTTTTTTTTTTAAATAAACAATAAACACTTAAATACTATTAAATATTAGTGCTTGTGTTATGTGTTTTATTTAAGTATAATCAAACCCTTAACACACAATTAACTAAATTAATTATTTAATGAATGAATTGATTTTATGTAATTTTTTAATTAAGTGTTTTCATTAGAGCTGTCTATAAAAACCAGCAGGCAAGAGTAGAGTTTATCAGTCAGGAGAAGGAGGTGGATTTAAGCTCATTTTGTTATTTTTAAGGTATGATGTGATTTGTAGGTTGAAAGTACTGAATGTCTTTACACATTTTTGAAACTATATAGCCATCTGTGTTAAAGGGACGTTTTTTTTAACCCACAACATCTGGCCCTGAATTCTTTGTTTTTTATAGTAAAATTTTCGTGGGATTTCATGTCACATGATTAACTGGGCAACCAGAAGTGGTTCATGGGTCAGCTATGGCAAATATAAGCTGCTTTGTTTATAAAACCGTACATTAAAGCTGAGACACAGTCTGAACGATGACAATAATAATGTACAATCACTAGACTAGTGATCATCAAATCCTTTTAACAGTTTATTTAACAAACTTTGTTTTAAAGTCTTCCCTTTTTTTCACAAAACCTTTTGCTCTCTAGAAACCATGTCAGTTTCGGTTGAAAATATTTTAAGTTCAAGTGTTAGCATTATAAACACTGAATTAATACCAACATATGAAATTAAATTAATGACAGAAAAATTGGCAATGTTGGACAATAAATATATAACAGGATGTGTGTATGTGTGTGTGTGTGTGTGTGTGTGTGTGTGTGTAAAAAAACACACACGTACAGCCACTTTCTCCAAAATTGTTTCATTATTTAATTATGGCAGAGACACAGCAATGCATCATGTTCTAATCTAGATCATCATGTTAGTGTGTTCCAGGGGATTAAAACGTACAATATATATTTCAGACCTAGTGGAATAATAGTAAATAATAATATAGTAAGTAATTGTACATGTGTAAAGTTGCATAAGCTCATTACTTTTTGCTAATGTTTTAGCTCATTGCTAAAACATTAGTCACATTTAAATGCAGACTCAAAACTCATCTGTTTAGCTGTGCATTTATTTAATGAGCACTGTGCGATGTCCGAACTGATTGCACTATATTATATGTATAATCGTTTTCTTAAATTCATTTTAAATCTCTTAAATCAAATTTTTTTTATATAATTTTCAAAGTTTTTAAATTCCTTGTTTTATTGTTGTGATTATTGTTTTTATTTTATTTTATGTAAAGCACTTTGAATTACCATTGTGTATGAAATGTGCTATACAAATAAACTTGCCTTGCCTTGCCTTGCCTTGCCTACTTAGTGCCATATCCATATAAATCATTATTATGGTTTCAATGGTTAGGACCTGCAGTTCCTAAAAGCAACATGCTAGCGACAGCTGCTGGTGAAACGTTGCAAAAGCATCAAGAACTCAGACCAAACTTACAAAACAAATGGAAATGTTTTTTTAGAAATACCTTTTTTTTTTAAATAAACAATAAACACTTAAATACTATTAAATATTAGTGCTTGTGTTATGTGTTTTATTTAAGTATAATCAAACCCTTAACACACAATTAACTAAATTAATTATTTAATGAATGAATTGATTTTATGTAATTTTTTAATTAAGTGTTTTCATTAGAGCTGTCTATAAAAACCAGCAGGCAAGAGTAGAGTTTATCAGTCAGGAGAAGGAGGTGGATTTAAGCTCATTTTGTTATTTTTAAGGTATGATGTGATTTGTAGGTTGAAAGTACTGAATGTCTTTACACATTTTTGAAACTATATAGCCATCTGTGTTAAAGGGACGTTTTTTTTAACCCACAACATCTGGCCCTGAATTCTTTGTTTTTTATAGTAAAATTTTCGTGGGATTTCATGTCACATGATTAACTGGGCAACCAGAAGTGGTTCATGGGTCAGCTATGGCAAATATAAGCTGCTTTGTTTATAAAACCGTACATTAAAGCTGAGACACAGTCTGAACGATGACAATAATAATGTACAATCACTAGACTAGTGATCATCAAATCCTTTTAACAGTTTATTTAACAAACTTTGTTTTAAAGTCTTCCCTTTTTTTCACAAAACCTTTTGCTCTCTAGAAACCATGTCAGTTTCGGTTGAAAATATTTTAAGTTCAAGTGTTAGCATTATAAACACTGAATTAATACCAACATATGAAATTAAATTAATGACAGAAAAATTGGCAATGTTGGACAATAAATATATAACAGGATGTGTGTATGTGTGTGTGTGTGTGTGTGTGTGTGTGTGTGTAAAAAAACACACACGTACAGCCACTTTCTCCAAAATTGTTTCATTATTTAATTATGGCAGAGACACAGCAATGCATCATGTTCTAATCTAGATCATCATGTTAGTGTGTTCCAGGGGATTAAAACGTACAATATATATTTCAGACCTAGTGGAATAATAGTAAATAATAATATAGTAAGTAATTGTACATGTGTAAAGTTGCATAAGCTCATTACTTTTTGCTAATGTTTTAGCTCATTGCTAAAACATTAGTCACATTTAAATGCAGACTCAAAACTCATCTGTTTAGCTGTGCATTTATTTAATGAGCACTGTGCGATGTCCGAACTGATTGCACTATATTATATGTATAATCGTTTTCTTAAATTCATTTTAAATCTCTTAAATCAAATTTTTTTTATATAATTTTCAAAGTTTTTAAATTCCTTGTTTTATTGTTGTGATTATTGTTTTTATTTTATTTTATGTAAAGCACTTTGAATTACCATTGTGTATGAAATGTGCTATACAAATAAACTTGCCTTGCCTTGCCTTGCCTTGCCTACTTAGTGCCATATCCATATAAATCATTATTATGGTTTCAATGGTTAGGACCTGCAGTTCCTAAAAGCATTTAAGTAGGGTGACCATATATGGCAAGCCGTTTTGACTTTTATTCATTCTCAGGATATGAATTCTTGATATCAACAATTCAATTTTTACTAGTTAAAATGTTAATTCTTGATATCAGGAATTAGATTTCTACTAGTAACAATTGCTATTTTTGATATCAGCAACTACATTTCCACTAGTAACAATGTTAATTCTTGATATCAACAATTACTTTTCAACTAGTAAAAACTATAATTCTTGATATCTGTAATTGTATTTTCACTAGTTAAATGTCACCATAGGCTGCCATTCAAAATCAATTGTTGATATCAAGAACTGATTTCTTGCTAGTTGAAATTCCAATTTCACATATCAGAAATACAATTCTTACTGATATGTGTGACAATGTTCATTTCTGATATCTGAAAATGTATTTCTGATATCAACAATTGGGAGGGTAATTTCTGATATCTAAAATGGCTTTCTTACTAGTAACAATCACATTCATGATATCAGAAATGAACATTGTCACACATATCAGTAAGAATTGTATTTCTGATATGTGAAATTGGAATTTCAACTAGCAAGAAATCAGTTCTTGATATCAACAATTGATTTTGAATGGCAGCCTATGGTGACATTTAACTAGTGAAAATACAATTACAGATATCAAGAATTATAGTTTTTACTAGTTGAAAAGTAATTGTTGATATCAAGAATTAACATTGTTACTAGTGGAAATGTAGTTGCTGATATCAAAAATAGCAATTGTTACTAGTAGAAATCTAATTCCTGATATCAAGAATTAACATTTTAACTAGTAAAAATTGAATTGTTGATATCAAGAATTCATATCCTGAGAATGAATAAAAGTCAAAACGGCTTGCCATAGACCATACGTGCCATTTTCCCAGGACACGTCCTGGCCAGGATTTCTATATTGCCTAAAATATCTAGGTTTGTTTGCGTGTGCAGACCGATCGGTGTTTGACATCAAAATGCCATACAGACGGTTCCTTATGCTTTCAAAATGCTCTCGACGTACTTTGATGTCAAACACTGATCGATCTGAGCCGCGCTGCTTTTAAGCCGAACACACATCCTATGTATGTACGCGTAATTGCATCGCTTTGACCGTAGATGCCACCTTCTCACACACACCATGAGTGGTCCATTATGTACAATGCCTGCATGTTATTGGTCAAACTGCTCCCTGCAGGGACTGGCGCTCTCTCTGGCATCGGCAGGGCGCAGCGCCACTTCCGGTGGCATCCCCAGCTGCCACTTGCAGCTGCCAGGCAGCTGCCACTAGTCGTTTCTGGCAGCTGCCACGGTCTTTCTCACTGTTTCTGCTGTTTGCTTGGTAAAACTACACGGTTCTCAGTGGCGTGCGGTGATGTTTTTTTTTTAAATGACGATGCAAAGTTCCCACAATTGTATTGTTATTATTATTATTATTATTATTATAAATTTTTATGTATCAGCTGCCAGTTCTTGCCAGGACTCACGATCGTTTGTCGCCGTTTCTGCTGTAAACTACACTGTTTTGTTTGTAAATAAAAGATTTGATGATGCATATTATATACCAGCAAGCAGATACGATCAGAATGTGAACCCAATAAACTAAATTTCATAAGCATTTTCCCATAAAGAACATACACACACATAAGGAGTGCCAGATGTCATGTCAATTAATGTTAAATGTTATATATGCACAAACACAAACATGTCATGGAATGGCAGGAGAAAACAAGGATAAATCCAAGTGCAGTTTATTAAAGTATAAAATAAACAGAACAGAAACGTGGCAAAAGGTAATCCAAAACACAGGGAACAGATAACACGATGTAACCTTAACAACATCAAACACAAACATCAGAATCGAATAATACTGCAGCAAAGACAGACAGAGAGATGCCAGGATTTGCGCTTGCTCTCGCTCAACTACTTTGCGATCGTTACCTTCAGCAAGCATGAAAACAAAGCCAAAACAAATCCTGGCAAGGACGCGTCCTGGGAAAATGGCAGGTATGGTCAACCTAAAATTTAAGTTTACTACTAGACTAAAAACAGTTAACGTTAAAGTTAGCAGGTGCATAAAACAGCGCTACGTCCCACTTCAAAACATACAATATTTTTACACTTTTGTGAATAACTACCTGTCAGGGTCTTTGAGAAAACGATGAAAGGCAAGATTTTTTACTGTCACACTGATCGTTTTTGCAGTGGATTGCCCAACATTGCGTTCTTTTATTCCACTTTGACCTCTCTTTCGTTGTTATTCTGTCTGTTTCTGTGTAACTGTGCTGTTGTTCAGTTGGAATTTTCACTCCAAAATGGCGGCCGCGCTACCTAGTGGCTGTTACCCAAAAACCATCAGCGTTTCGCCTCTTGGTTGGAGCTAAACTCTGCAGGACACAGGCCCTCCAGGATTGAGTTTGGACACCCCTGCTATATAGCATCATATTTGAGAGAACTTGGTATCAAAACATTTTTTTTAAATCCCTGATTTAGAGATGTATGGTACAGGGTTTCAAATAGGCATATATCTCCCTTCTGAACCAAATGCATTATTTTTTTCTGTGTAAAAATAAGGAAAGGGACATTCTGTGCTTGAAAATAGTGTTCTATCTTTTTAAACATCACAAAATTACATAAAGATGTTCATATAAGACAATGTCTTATTGTGAATGAAAATGATCACAATTAGGCCTACTTTCCAAAGAATTTCTTACAAGGACTACTACAAAGGTTGTCTGAATCTTCACGTAAATGCACATCCTTTTGGTAGTTGTAGTCCTTTTGTAGCAACATGTTACCACATTCACTTAAAAAGTTTGTGCTATGACTGTATGTAATTTGTTGTAGTTCAAAACGTAAAAGTATCTTTAAGTAATATTAATTACCATAATTTACTCATGGATCGAAAACGTTATTCCTAAAACAAAAGCCCATGGTGAACGGGTTGGCCTACAAACTGACCTCAACAAAAACAGATACACATAAACGACACTAGAGCGCGCCAAGGTAAAAGTGTTTGGTTATAAAAGTTAATGCCTGAGTTTTGTGTCAGCGGATTGTGAAACAGCGCCGCGGGTTCAAACAGAGCGCACGGCGGCATTGATTTCGGTTTGTTTGCTGATGCTGGAGCCGCAAGCCATGAAACAACATACAGAACTACCACATTTTGCTATAGTGTTTATCGTCTGTTTGATTACGTCTTTAATTGATTTTTCTGTACATTTCTGCCATATGTACATTAATTGACAGTCACCACTGATAAGCTAGGCTACTACTAAATATTGTAGAAACCTATTTGCTCTAAAGTTGCTTTGCAACGATTTGTATCGTGAAAAGCGCTATACAAATAAACTTGAATTGAATGTGTAAAGTCTTACTTGCACTCGCTGTGTGACAAGGTCACTGACTACTTACAGGTGCTACAGGTGTCATCAATGCGTTTATTGAGATATTTTTGACTTTTTTTTCATGTAATGTTTCAAATTATAAAGCAGTTTGGAATGAGTTATTTTATGAAGGACCAGCTAAAATGAACACTGCTTATTAAATTTTTCTTTTCTCTGTGACCTAATATTGACAGCTGAAAAGCCCTGCAGTGTGTTGCCAGGGGAAAAGTCTTACTTGCACTCGCTGTGTGACAAGGTCACTGACTACTTACAGGTGCTACAGATGTCATCAATGCGTTTATTGAGATATTTTTGACTTTTTTTTCATGTAATGTTTCAAATTATAAAGCAGTTTGGAATGAGTTATTTTATGAAGGACCAGCTAAAATGAACACTGCTTATTAAATTTTTCTTTTCTCTGTGACCTAATATTGACAGCTGAAAAGCCCTGCAGTGTGTTGCCAGGGGAAGAAGTCTTCATGTACTGTAAGTTTGGGCTGAAGTCTTGATTTATGAAAATGTTTTTCGCCCTATTGCCCTACATTTGATGGTTTACTTAATGAAAACTAATTACAGCATGACTAATCTTTTCCTGCAGCCCTTTACTGTCACCTCACTCCCTCTCCCTATTCATCTGAAATTACTTTAATTTAGGGCCTGTAATATACTTTGGGTTACAACTTCATTGTAGTTAATATAATATCTTAATTAAATGAAGCACTTAAATGCATCTCCACTGTTCCTGCTTCTCTCCTGTGCTTGTAAGCTGATTTGTGTAAGCATAACCAAAGCAGAATGGATTTGACTCTCTCCTCTGACTAACCACTTCTGTTTACTTCCTCTGATTCATCAACCCACCACGACCAGACTATTGTGAGTACTGGTTCTGCAAACTATAGATTTGTAATTTCTGGGCTTGATGTTTCGATACATCAACATACAATGAATATAGCAACAGTGAACATATTTACAAAGTTGCTTCCAGGTGTTTGGTTCAGAGTTTCGCTAGAATACAAAACACTAGTGTTGTATTTTGATGCATTAATCTCAACATGGCAATTTAATAGCAGTGACCGCTGAATACAAATATTTCTTGTACCTGAGATTTGACTTCATATTGTGAGCTTGACCTTTGCCCTTCTTTTGTCAATGGTCTGTTCTGCATCTTTACCCATCAGCCTCCTCCTGCTAAATATGGAGGCAGACACACGGTGACTTTGATCCCTGGTGATGGTATTGGACCAGAACTGCTGAACCACGTCAGAGAGCTTTTCAGGTTTGAAGATGAAGCTCGCTATAAACAGACTTCACGAGAAAACACTAAAGATGAGCTCTTATATTTTTGTCATTCAATAATATTCACAGATTCTGCTGTGTTCCAGTGGATTTTGAGGTTGTCAGGGTGGATTCGTCTGCTTCCTCTGAGGATGACATCAATAATGCGGTTACTGCAATCAAACGTAATGGAGTAGCACTTAAGGGTGAGCATGAACAAATAGTTGATCAACCACAGAAAGGTTTGCTGCATATTAGGTGTATAAATGTATTGGTACCATATCAGTTATCGGTTGACATTGGATATTTAATTGTTCATTTCCTCTAATTTTACATTTAGATTACCTCATCATATAACTAAGTCACTTAAAGTTCAACTTTAAAAGCACTAATAATTTAATAATACTGTTAAATCTTTAGCTAATTAATATAAATTAATATACATTTAAATCATGTATGTTACCCCAAAAATTCACTGTATTATATTTAATGTATTTAGACAAAATGGGATAGTTTTAATATCGCCACTTAACTTTTTGGCCATAACATACATAGTTCAGCCAAAAAAGAAAATTTGCTGAATATTTACTCGCCCTCAGGTCATCCGAGATGTAGATTCATTTGTTTCTTCATCGGAACAGATTTGGGAAATTTAGCATTAAATCACTTGCTCACTACTGGATCCTCTGCAGTGAATGGGTGCCGTCAGAATGAGAGTCCAAACAGCTGATAAAAACATTACAATAATTCACACCACTCCAGTCCATCAGTTAATGTCTTTTGAAGTGAAAAGCTGCGTGTCTGTATTAAACAAATCCATCATCAAGGTATTTTAACCAACCATTACTTCTGGCAGAAATGTCATCTCGTCTGAATCAGGAGAGAAATATGCACAGATCAAGCACCGTTTACAAGCGGAAACAATACAAAACAGTTCTAAACAAATATATCGCTTGATTTTGATGTGAGAGGACAACAGAGCATAGACTTACTCACTTGAGGAAGCATTATTATGAATTATGGACTTGTATTTTGGCCAGAAGTGACGGTTTAAAGTTAAAATGCCTTAGTGATGGATTTGTTTCTAATACATCGTCTACATCTTGAATAACTTGAGGGGGAGTGAAGTTTCAGCAAGTTTTCATTTTTGGGTGAACTATTCCATTAAATTGCAGTGTATAAATCAAGATTCTTTTACAGGTAACATAGAGACTAATCACAACCTTCCTCCATCTCATAAATCCAGGAACAATTTGCTTCAGTAAGACATCTTGGATTTGTTTTTTCTTTACTTGATTATCTGTGGTAAATCCAGAGGGTTAATTTATATGACTGGGTTATAAAACGGATAGTTCCGGTCCTTGATTCTGATTGGTTGAGCCGCGTTCGAAGCTGTTGTAAATTACTCTACAAACATACACCTTTGTTTACATTTGTGTGTTGCGTCGGCAACCACTTTGTTGGAACCACAACCGTTTCTGAGGAACTACATTGTTTAGCAGAAGAATAATGTTTTATTAATATCATTACATTTTATTTGCTCTGTTTCATTTTGTGAAACCTTACTACGTATATGGAATAACCCTTTTATAAAAGCAATAAGACTCCTCTTCGCGTTGTGCATAACAACGCCCCTTAGCTGTTATACATTCACTGTAAACCACAGCTTCACGGGGCTTATTGCTTTATTTAACTCCCTGACAGCACATCTTTAGACCTGTATGCTAATGTCATGCACTGTCAGTCTCTTCCTGGAGTCCCGACCCATCACAAAGACATTGATGTGATCATCATTAGGGAGAATACAGAAGGAGAGTACAGCAGCTTGGAGCATGAGATCCGTGTGTTTGGGTCTCTTTTAGTTTAAGGACACCAATTACACTCATTCCTCAAGTTTAAATCTCCTCTTTTCCAGAATGTTCCCGGGGTGGTGGAGAGTCTGAAGATCATAACACGTGTGAATTCATTGCGGATCGCTGAGTATGCCTTTAACTTGGCCAGAGAGAAAGGCCGCCGCAAGGTCACGGCAGTACATAAAGCTAATATCATGTGAGAGTCACTTCTTACTTAAAGGCACAAGAGGCTAGAGGGTGCATATTCAAAATAAACAAATAGACAAAGGCGTAGTTTGATGACGCCGTGACTGAGTGTGGAATCGTGGGAGTTGTCGTCTTCATCCCCACAGCCGATGCAATCCGACGGGACTCGGGCAGAAATCATGTTCATGGATGAGCTAATGATTTATTAATGTAGTAGTATGAAGCAGGGTGAGGCTGAAATCCATCAAAGCGAAATGAGGCCGCTGAACGAGTGTGACACACGGCTTGAAAGCAGCGGCGCTTTTATTATTATGCCACAGTCGACCGCTTCCGCTCCTTCCGGTCGTGCGTATGTGGGGGAAAAAGCAGCGCTGTTTTATCATACTAGATACGTTTGAAAGTTCTGTTATAATGCTACTCTGTGCGGTCGTCACCGGTCTATTAAAACCCAGAACATATTAAAGAGTCTTTGGTGTTTCCATGTTTTCTACAAAATCGAAGGGTTATGACGTCATTGGCAGGCGACACAATGACACAATGGACACGCTCCGTGTCACTAGTTAAAATAGATTATTTCTCTGGATTTAAACATTCTTCGAAACATTTGGGATAATGTAAGTACATAAGTCAGCAAAATATATAACACTGTTCTAGTGGTTTTTGGATATTTTAATAAAAAAATCGTATACATTGTGCCTTTAACTCTGCTTTACTTTCAGCCAAATCACCAGACAAAAACACATTTGCATATCTCGCATCTTGCTGAAATATTGGTTTCTTGTGGTACAGGTTAAAATTAGTTTAGGATTGTTTTCCTTTGCTTCATAGGAAACTTGGCGATGGCCTTTTCTTGCAGTGCTGTAAAGAGGTGGCGGCTGGATATCCTGATATCACATTTGATAAAATGATCGTGGACAATACCACCATGCAGGTAGATGAATGGTGAACTACATAAGTACATGATGCACTACAGTCCAAAAGTTTGGGGTCAGTAAGATTTTTGAAAAATAAACATACTTTTATACAGCAAAGATGCATTAAACCGTTCGAAACTGACAGTTAAGACATGTATACTGTTACAAAAGGTTTCTATTTAAAAAAAAATGCTCTCTTGACCTATCTATTTAAGAATCCTGAGGAAAATGTATTTCAATTTCCACAAAAATATTACGTAGCACTACCGTTTTAACATTGAATATAATAAGAAATGTTTCTTGAGCAGCAAATTAGCATATTAGAATGATTTCTGAAAGATCATGTGACACTAGAGACTGGAGTAATGATGCTGAAAATTCAGCTTTGCATCAAAGGAATAAATTGCATTTGAAAATGCATTAAAAAAATGAAAAACTTTTCGACCTAAAATATTTGAATGGTAGTGCATTTTATAAATTTTTTTTGGGTTCTATGTATTACATGATATAATAAATAGTTTATTAATTTATTTTGGGTTTGTTTGTGTAGGGACAGTATAATTGTAACGAGGGAGGCGTGACGACAAAGTGGGGATCCAAATGCAAGGGTTTAATAAGAGTGTAGTCAAACAGGCGTGGTCAACAACAGCAAACAGCGGTGGCAAGGCAAAAGAGTTATCCAGATAATCAGGCAATGGTCAGGGCAGGCAGCAAAACAATCATAAACAAGAAAACAGTCCAGGGAACAAAACACGAAGGCAAGGAAACAGAGAAACTAGAAACCACAGAAGAGCTATACAACATTCAATCACCAGCGATGACAGAGAGTGTGTGTGCTATTTTTATAGTCCTACTAATGTGAGACAGCTGTGAACTGATGATGAGATCTGATGAGAGACAGGTGATGCACTTGATGAGTCCGGGCAAAGGATTATGGGAAATGGAGTCCTGAGTGAATGGCAAGGTACAGAATGGAGTGCCCTCTAGAGGAGCTCATGGGCACTCCAGCTGGAGATCATGACAATAATCAAAATTAAAACTAAAAAAGATGCACTTTATATAGAGATTATAGCATAATTTGCATCCTATGTCCCTAAAATGCTTTAAAAAATTACAAAAAAGCTACACATAATTACACTATTACAGGTGCATTTCAATAAATTAGAATGTCGTGGAAAAGTTAATTTATTTCAGTAATTCAACTCAAATTGTGAAACTCGTGTATTAAATTCAATGCACACAGACTGAAGTAGTTTAAGTCTTTGGTTCTTTTAATCTGAAGTAGTTTAAGTCTTTGGTTCTTTTAATTGTGATGATTTTGGCTCACATTTAACAAAAACCTACTGTAACGAATCAGCTCATGAGGAAATATGAATAATTAATCATAACTAGTTATAATTAATTATGAATATTTAGATCCGCTGTAGATATTTAGCTGACCTCTCAGGGTAAACTGTCTTGTCAATTCTAAGAACGTTAATTTCCTGGTTAAGGGAAATAACTTTCTTACTGTACAATTCTAAAAAAAAAGCTTGTAGCATAAATCTGCATGATTAAGTGACTCCAGTTATGAGCAAACAATGAACAACGTCAAGTGTGATACAAGTAAGGTTTTATTAACTACATAAACACTTAAACTAGTCTAACATACTACATAAACACTTAAACTGGTCTAACACACATACACACACACACACAATTTGTATAGGAAAGGGTTAAAGCTTAACTCAGTACAGAGAAGAGAAATAAGGAATGAAGTAATGGAAACATTTGCATATTCAGCAGATCTACGCCTGAGGGAAACATCAGATTTTTAGTTCAAACACACCTTTGTAAAAAGGTGCAAATGATACCTAATTAATAAGACTAAGTTTGATACTTGCAAGTCTCGTCTGTCTGAAAGAGATTCCTGATGCAATCTTAAGGCCCAAGATCTTGCTGAAGTTGGTTGATGAGAAAGAACCAGTTTGAGTCAGAGGATCTTGGTGAAATTGAAAGGACAGTTCTATAATAATTCACAGTTCACTCAGCAAAAGATTTGCCAGACTAATTCAAATTAATAACTTTTTACTTTTTGTGCAGTTTATTAAATTAGGGCTTCCCACAAGCAGTTTGTGAAGGAACTGCAGGGAATTTGTGAGTTGTTGAAAAGTTAATAGTTAATTAAATAATAATAAAAAAAAAATGTATATGAATAATTAAACGTTTTTAATTAAAAAGCATTCACAAAAAGATTAAATATTTTATTTGTTTACCCGCATGTTATGTTACCACCAACATCAGAGAACTGTGTGCATGCAAATGTGTTGTTACAGTAAAATATTAATTTAAAATATTTTCTTGAAGTATCCCCTGCATTTTTATGTCAAAGGGGTTCAGCTGACAAAAACATTTGGGAATCCTTCCATTAAAAGAACAGACTCATTCATAAGAGCACTGCAGTACAATTATTACAGGGACATTTTGCTCATGGGCACAATGAAAGGTCATGATTTGAAAGGTCATGGTTGGACCCTTAAGGGGTTTAGACCTACATCCAGCACAGGTTGTTAACCACTACACTACACCATACAGAAGTGACATGCTGTTTGTTGTGGGAAAATTAATGTTTTTCTCTTTATGTATGTCACCTGAAATGCAACAAAGACATCACACAGTAAAACAGAGAGCCTTTGAAGTCTTTAGGACAGATAATTTAATCAGGAAAGACAGAGGGGTTAGTACTTTTGGCCTCACGGGTGTGAAGGCACACAAACACACAGTAAAAACAAATGATCAGAAAGAGCCTTTGAACTCTTCAGTGCAGGAAAGACAGGGGGGTTGTTGACCTCACAGATGTGAAGATAATAAAAGCCCAGGGGGGTTAGAAGGACCATTGTTGTTTTTTCTGAATACAGCTAGGTGTGGTTTAAGGAAAACCTGCAAGAAGTGGGGGTGATAACAGTATAATAAGGCTGTCTGTTTCCAGTGTGATTTCAGGTTTTGTTGTATTTCAGGGTAGCTGCTGAAACATGAACATACCTCTTTAAGGAAAATAAACTTCTTTCCTTAAATATAATTTGATTCCTTGTCTCTTACTCTGTGATGCTATTTTGTTAGTAATTGTTTTTGCCACAACAATTTGGTGTCAGAAGTGGGATCTCACGGCGGTTTCTTCTGGTCCTGAGCAGATTTGACGAAGTGATCATCTCAGAGCCTCTTTATATCACTTTGATTGCGCCTAAAATCAATATGCGTGTCTTTAGTTTTTAACACATTTATTTGCAGGAATGCATTATCACACCACTGAACAAAATCATCTACCACGAGGCCATGGTCATTTTCATCAGCATGGAAGAGGCTGACAATAGCTGAATCTTCTGCATATTTTACAATAAATCTATTCTCATGCCTACTCCTGCAATCGTCAGTGTATAAAATATACAGGAATGGAGAAAGCACACATTCCTGAGGGGGGACCCTGTGGATGAAGACCGTACACTCTTAAAAATAAAGGTGCTTCAAAAGGTTCTTCAAGCGATGCCATAGAAGAACCATTTTTGGTTCCACAAAGAACCATTTAGTCAAAGGTTCTTTAAAGAACCATCTCTTTCTTACCTTTTTATAATCTGAAGAACCTTCTTTCGCCCCAAAGAACCTTTTGTGAAACAGAAAGGTTCTTCAGATGTTAAAGGTTCTTTATGGAACCATTTAGACAAAAAGGTTCTTCTATGGCATCATGAAGCACCTTTATTTTTAAGAGTGTACCTCTGACAAACACCCATTTACCCTTACTCTCTGAATTCGATCAGTTAGAAAGTCAAGGATCCAACCAATGATACAAAAATCAAACCAAAGCTCAAAAGTTTCTCTACTAAAATGTGAGGTTGAATCAGAAAAGCAGATGAGAAATCAATGAATAAAATTCTAGCATGCGTCTTAGTTCCCTCTAAATGCTTAAGTACCAAATTCAACAAGGTGGCCGTAGCATCCTCTACACCACGCCTGGCCCTATAAGCAAACTGAAGAGAATCGCGAGAATCTTCTACCATTGTAAGGAGCTCTTTTTTCAACAGACTCCCAAAACTCTTCATTACTAAAGAGGTCAGCGCAACTGTCTTAAAATCATTTAGTTCATTGGGATGACTGTAGAGGATTTCCATAATCTCTGCACCTTCTGTTGAGTAAGGGACAGTTGAAAAATATAATAAAAAATAGATCCCAATTACTCTGCACAGGAGATAAGCAGTCGACCTTCAATATTATCAGGGCCCGAATTTTTCCTAGCTTTTGAATGTTTAAACACGTTAACATCCTGTTCTTCAAATGGGATAGGTCTATTACCAATTAAATTATTTGTCTGCTCACAGAGAATATTCTCAAAATCATGAGTATCAAACCTTACAAAAAATTAATTGAATGCTTGTGCAAGCTGAAAATCATCGCTATACCCTTCCAATACTATATTAGAATCTCTTTTAGGCTTTGTCTCAACTATGGTTTTCATGCCATCCCAGACTGAGCCCAAATTACTATTTCTTAACTCCCGTTCTATTCTTTATAATGCACCTTTGCCTTTATTTATCTCCAATTTCACTTAACTCAGAAAGATTTACCAATATCAGTAACTAAAGTATTACCAATATTTTGAATATGTTTTTGTTGGTGTACCTGGTCTCTAAGCCCCAGCAGTTTGACATGATGGTGATGCCTAATCTCTATGGAAATGTGGTGAGCAATGTGTGTGCTGGACTTGTTAGAGGTCCAGGTCTAGTACCAGGAGCCAACTACGGCAAGGACTACGCTGTTTTTGAGACCGTAAGAAAGAACAGAGCATGTACTGGTCAGCCATTAGACTGACTACAGAATACATGAGATATTGTTTGTTTTTATATAGGCCACTAGGAACACTGGAAAAAACATTGCTAACAAGAATATTGCAAATCCCACGGCCACACTGCTGGCCAGCTGCCTGATGCTGAATCACTTAAAGTATGTGTGTATGAATATTAATTTGATAATTTTCATTGGAGGTTTTACCAATATTAGAGGTTTTAAATCCACATTACTTACGTGCAATATACATGAAACATAATTATACACAAGTCAAAAAGGAAAAAAAAGTTAGCTGTAGGACTGGAATTGTGCATTCCGTTCATGTCTGGGCTGTCTTTCTTCTTTCCTAGGCTTCATGCATATGCCAAGATGATTCGAAAGGCAGTTCTGAAAACTTTGTCTGAAACTCAGGAATCATAAAATACATGCTCATTATGTCAAACAGCTATAGAAATTCATCTCACCTAAGACGAGCCATATCCATTGCTCACTCTTACCATACCCTTTTATCTGCAGTATTACATCTCTACTAAACACATACTGCTTGTATAGTCATTTGTTTTCACATGTCTCGATATCCCTGCAGTTGCAGACTGCTGACTTGGGAGGTCAGGGTACTACATCTGAAGTGGCCCACTCTATTATGCAGGAGATCCAGAGAGGAGGACCACGCACATCATAACAGATCTGAACTTCATTTCTGCAGGTCCTAGACCCTCACAGAGTACACAGAAACGATCTAATGCTTTACAGAAACACAGAACACATGAATTCTTTAATGTAAAGATGTAAGTTAGTGTGTTGAAATGGTGTATATTTTTCTTTTGTAATCTATATATCAAGCGGTATAAATGTTTCTGATGTTATTTATCCGTTATGATCAAGTTAAGACCTTTATCTGAACTGAACTGGACTGGACTGCTGTGTATTTTTTTTCATACCCAACAGTTTCTGTACTGAAGTTTCCATCTTATTAATTTATTATTTATTGCCTGTTGTTAATTGATGATGCACCAAGCACTTTCATGAATAAATGTTCTAAAACTTCATGCCTCATCATAAGAAATGTTCAAAATTAAATAGGCAGTATGATGTATGGACAAACATTTTCCAATAGGTGGCACTAAAACGCTGCACTTCAGCTTTATCAAGTTTAGATGCTTTTTGACATTCATGAGTATTAGAATAAGTTATGACTGCTTTAGTGCAAAAAGTGAAATAAATTACATTTAATGTTTACTTTCAGCGCAAGTGACTGTTTTCAGTAATGACTGAGCTAGAATGTTTTTCTTAGGGAAGAAAATATTCATGAAAATATTCCATGAAAAAACAATGAATTTATACTAGTGCTGTCGCATCCAAAATAAAACATTTTGTTTACATAATATATGTGTGTATACTGTGTGTATTTATCATGTATATGTATAAATACAAACACATGCATGTATATATTTAAGAACATTTTTATGTTTATATTTTAAATTTATATAAATATATATATATAAGAATATAGCCTGTTGTTAATTGATGATGCACCAAGCACTTTCATGAATAAATGTTCTAAAACTTCATGCCTCATCATAAGAAATGTTCAAAATTAAATAGGCAGTATGATGTATGGACAAACATTTTCCAATAGGTGGCATTAAAACGCTGCACTTCAGCTTTATCAAGTTTAGATGCTTTTTGACATTCATGAGTATTAGAATAAGTTATGACTGCTTTAGTGCAAAAAGTGAAATAAATTACATTTAATGTTTGCTTTCAGCGCAAGTGACTGTTTTCAGTAATGACTGAGCTAGAATGTTTTTCTTAGGGAAGAAAATATTCATGAAAATATTCATGAAAAAACAATGAATTTATACTAGTGCTGTTGCATCCAAAATAAAACATTTTGTTTACATAATATATGTGTGTATACTGTGTGTATTTATCATGTATATGTATAAATACAAACACATGCATGTATATATTTAAGAACATTTTTATGTTTATATTTTAAATTTATATAAATATATATATATAAGAATATAAATGTATATACATGTAAATATTTTCAAAATATATACTGTGTGTGTGTGTTTATATACACATACTGTGTGTATTTATCATGTATATGTATAAATACAAACACATGCATGTATATATTTAAGAACATTTTTATGTTTATATTTTAAATTTATATAAATATATATATATAAGAATATAAATGTATATACATGTAAATATTTTCAAAATATATACTGTGTGTGTGTGTTTATATACACATAAATATACACAGTACACATACATATATTATGTAAACAAAAACTTATTTTGGATGCGATTAATCGTTTGACCGCACTAATTTATACTCTTTAAAATATAAACTAAGATTTATAATGCAGTTTATAAACTAAACTTTTCTTTATAAATTTATTTTGACATGGCATTTGAGTGTTTCCATCTTTGGTAATCATCAATTAGATATTATTCTGCATCATGAAACCTGTAGGAATGTTGAGCGCAAGTACATCTGTCATCAGTGAATTAGGAAACCAAAAGTTAAGAGGTTTAGATACTTGTCCAAAACACATGCCTGTGAAAGTGTGCAAAGATTTTTGGCAGTCGTCGTGTTATGATTGGTATTAGTAACAGCCAATCTTTTGAGGTTGATTTATTTATTTGATTCATCCAACCGTACAAGTATTTTTTTATTTTGTTTTTATGAATGATGCCCAGAAAGGGAAATTACTCAAAGTTTGGCTGAACTAGTGAGCTTTGACAAGCAGCAACACTTGTTTTTGACCTGCAGGAGTTCAAATAATTGTAAGCAGGAGAAACAAAGAGGTCAGATGAGAAAAAGATCCATCAAAGGAGAGAAAGTCTTTAAAGCAGCTAATATCACCCTGTGGTTATTAAATCAATGTAACAGCACTCTCTTGATGAGAGAGCAATTGAGTGGAAAAAAGACAGTTTGCCATTGCCAGCGAGAGGGCAATGAAAAGGAAAGTGATGGAATGTCAAAAGAGTGAAAAGGAAGGGAAAATGAAGAACAAAGGCCTTAGCAGGGTTATACTGATTACATTTTTCTGTTGATCACACATACACACATACATTCCCTCACATGATTTGAATTATTGGCAAAAAAAGAAATATTTGACGATCTTTGCTCACAGCAGGAGGAAGAGAGGGGCATGTGCGGGCCGTTATGATCGCTTTGCTAGTAGTATACATCGGAGTACTGAAGTACCTCTGCAGTAAAATTAGAAAAACAGCTTCAGCATCTCAGCTCCAGCAACGCAGAGAAAAACAGCTCGCGAATCAAACGGAAAAGGGCCAAAAGTAATTTTGCTGTCTGTAACTGTGCTTTCAAAAACAAGACATATTCCAACTGAAGAGGGCTCTCCAAAACAGCCGGGCTCTCAGTTTAGGAATGCTGAGGATGGCAGTTTCATCTCTTTTCCCAGAGGAAACCGAAGATTGTGCTGTTTTCCTCCTTTCTTCTATCTGTACCCTGGACATACAAAGCAAATAGTCACGGGTGGTGGGGGGGGGGGGGGGCCGGAATTTTTTGTG